TGGCAGTAGATGTTAGCTCAGAGCCGGTCTTCCTCAGCAAAAAAAGAGGAGGATTGGCATGGATGTTAGCTCAGGGCTGATCTTCCTCAAAAAAAAAAAAAAAAAACAAAACCTGGAGCCTTTTAGGCTTGTGGTTCTGATACCTTAATGTGTTGCCTTTAAAACTTCTTCACTCATTTGACTTTGAAGTTGCTTTGTATTTTTAGCATATACGTTTTTGTTTTTGTTTTTTAGCTTGCCCTTTTATAAAAAGGAATTCTGCATTTTTTAATGTGGAAGAGTGTTTTCCATGTCCATTTATCTGCTGTGTTGACCAGTGCTCTGATATCACAAGTGTGGAGCTTTATGATTAATAGTGATCATTAATCTAGGTTATGTCACTGGCTTCAAAGTTAATATCTAGTATACATGAAGCATGAATTTCATAGAAATTTAGGGTACTCTCTTGCTGCCTGCTTAAAGTGAAAGTATCCAAAGTCTGTCATATTTGATTTCATCAATAAAGTTGAAATAGATGTTTCGAGAAATCTTAAATTAGACCTTTTTTATATACTTGTCAGTTAGTTTACCCAAGGAAAAATTTTACTATGCTATTATACTTTTACATCTTCTGGTGTGTTCTAAATTGGCCAATTTTAGCATTTAGAGTACTTTCATAATACAGTTACAGGTTAAGAAAAACAGTGTCTCAGTAGCTGGACAAAACATTATAGAAATACTAGATGGGCTTCAAACATTTAGGTCAGTAAAGACTGGCAATTTGCTGAGATCCAAATTGAATATGCTGCTAATTGGCAGCTTTTAGGATATCTGTACTTTTCTCTGATTGAATTTTAACTAGTAATAATTTAGAAATCATGCCAAGAAATAATTTATATTGATCCTAGGTCAGATGTGTGATGGATATTCATCTAGCTTGTTCCTGACCGGACTTTAAATGTAATTAAAAAACATATCAGAAAACCAGTTTATTTTGATCTTAGCATAGATGTGTAATAACATTATTATAAAGTTTTTCTTTCATCAGAAAGGAAATTATTTTAATGTACTTCATCTTAATATATTGTATTTTAATGTATTTAAACATGTTAGTATCCATGCTAAAATTCACTTTTTCACTTAAATGTGTTTCCAATACTGTTAACTGTTCTTTATCATTATAATTTTAAGCCTATGCATAGTATTTTCTCATTTGATACTTCATAATGTACTTTACCTTTCTAACTTAGATTAATATTTAGGTTATTTTCAGTTATTCTTTATTAAAGATAACATTGTAGTGAAGCTGTTCTTGCATATAACTTTAAAGATTATTAAAAATTAAAAATTAGAACTTTAGGATATCTTACATGAATTTCTGAATTTCCAAGACTAAGATTATTACATCAAAGGATGCTAACTTCTTCATGGTTCTTGATAGTTATTGCTGTTGTTAGTTTGTAAAATGTTATTAGTTTATAGTATGACCAGTAATATATAAATTTGTCAGTTTTATCATAATGGCACTAGCAATTTTGATAGATCTGGTGTCTTATTGTTTCAGTTTTATTTCAATGATTTTTTTATCGTTTTGAACATTTTGCGTATGTTCAATGTTTCTATATTATTTAGTGTGAATCATACATATACTTGTTGTCCATTATTATTGAGGTCTTAATATTTTTCCTATGGATTTTAATGAGTAAATTTTATATATAAATATTAATCTTTTATGATATTACAAATTTGATAAGACTGTTGTCTTCCAGAAGCATTAAGATTTCTGAAATAATTATATAAATGACCAATTCTCCAAATCGTGTTATAGCTTTATGAAGACAGACTCATTTTTGATGCCTCCGTGTCCTCCTGATGCCTAGCATAACCCTGGACATATTAACAAAATTGATTTTTTGAACTGAATTGTTTTACAGATGCAGTGGAAGGTATTGATGCCCAGGTTGTACATGGCTACATGATTCATGATAGGGACAGCAAATCAGATGTTCAAATTCCTTACCCTCTGTCAGAAAACAGTCAGGTGCAGAGTGGAAGAGCCTTCCATCATGGAAGATTCATCATGAGTCTCCGGAAAGCAGCTATGGCAGAGCCCAAGTAAGAGTACAGCTTCACATTTATAATGTTAAAGAAACACATTGAAACTTGGCCTTTGTACAAATACTGTTTTATAAATTTTCATAAGTGTTTGGGTATGGGCTAGAACATAGGTATTATACTAAAATAAGCTATAAGTTAGAAGAATGTTAGATCTTCAGTGCCTTTGATAAGAATATCAAATAGAGAATTTTCCTTTAAATGACATAGAACTATTGAGGATTTCCCTTTAACTAAATAAATTGTGTGATTTTTATGTGGTTGGAATTTAGAGGGTATGGTTGTAACTAAGGTTTAAGTCCCTGTGTGTCCATTTTGGAGTTGGGGTTTGTGGTTGATACTTTCTATTAAAAGTCAAGACTAGAGGACTTCAAAGGAAAATCTCCATTCTTTGTGAGGACCTAGTCTGATGGGACTGGCTTCTTTTAATTATTAACTTACATTTGCCTCTAGCCTTTACACCATCTAGTAGTTATATCGTATATATATAATATATACTATTAATGTACTATATATAATTATATACTATAATTGAGGAAGTTTTAAACATGAGAACCCTCATGTCCTTGGCATAGGCCTAACTGTTGAAAAAGCAAATAAGTAAGTGAACTCATCCTTAGAACTGAAAGGATTTGATGTCTGTAGAAGTGGAATATGTTCATTGTAGAAAAATGGAAAAATACTCAAAAATATAAAGAAGATTATAAAAGTTATCCTCGATCCTTCTGACTAGAAGAAACTACTCTGAATGATTTAGTGGATAAACTCCAATTCTATTTTCCCATCTGTGTATGAGTTTGGATATGTAAAGTTTTTCTGCGTGTATTTTATTTTTTAATGAATTGAGATAAAAATCTAATGTTAGTTTTTAAAATACTTCTTAAATCATTGCATTAGTAATATGTATTTAGTTTTAAGAAATTAGAAAATAAAAACTATACATAATTCTAAAACCCATTAGTGATGTTTTTGTTTTTTTTTCATTCCAGACCTTTTTTTACATGTGCACACATGTGTGTTCAATTTATATGGGTAAACTGGAGACAAGGCATTCATCAGATAATTCTTTATTTAAATTACTCAAGTGTACTCCTGTAGAATTTATTTCTGTTTATCTTTTAGTACAAAGTTTATTGAAGGCACTGTGCTACAGTTGTTAGAAGAAGATGATGCTGTGATGGGAGTTCAGTACAGGGATAAAGAAACTGGGGACATCAAGGTGAGATTTATCAAACATTAGCTCTTCCTAAGAGATGTTTTCCTTCTTTTTCTCCTACTCATTCAAAAAAGTAGGCTTACCAGTTTATTATTCATCACATGGACTGAGTTCTCGCTAAGCCCCGCTGCAACAGGATGAGTTTCAGATTGTAACACATTGCTCTTTAGAGCACCTCAGAATGCTATACATATAACTTGTAGACAAACACCACTATATTAACAGTATTAAAAACTGAAAGAAGAAATATACAGTAGCAGAGAAGCAGAGGGCAACTGGAAGGTGAGAAAAGGAAGGATTCAACATAAAAGAAATGATTAGGATAAAATAAACAATTGTTTAAATCAAAAAGGCAAAAGTAAGAGAATCTCGGGGGAAATAGCAGAATAAAACAGTTTCCAGTATGTGCTCATGTTGGTTTGCAAAAGAAGAGAAAGAGTCAAAGCCCAATCTGTTGACTCTCCCGGGCTGCTCCATAGGGTCACCAGCTCCTAGAAATTGTACTCTAATGGAGGCATTTGCAAGGTAATATAAATATATACATTTATGTGTACAAAAATTCTTCTAAGCCTTAGCCACTGATTGAAAGCACTATATAAACTTAGAAAATTCTAGAATAAAAGAATCTGGCTAGTTCTTGGAATTTGTAATGAGATTCAGTCTTCTCTGGTCCATGCTTGCTTTGTAGTTGTTTCTCCTATTGTCCATCATAGTGTAGCTTAATCCCAGGTGGTCTGGATGGTAGAGCTTTGAAGGAAGGTGATCTTCAGGGACTCCTCTAACGATTGGTCATGCATTAACTGAAGCTCACATAACAGCCTCTTCAATAGCATTATCATCAAATACTCTATAATGTTGTCCAATAATGTATTTAAATTTACTCATGTACATTTTAAAAGAATGGTCCTTTTACTGTAAATCTAACCATTTAGCTGAATATTCTTTATCTTTGTTGTAGGAACTCCATGCTCCATTGACTGTCGTTGCAGATGGACTTTTTTCTAAGTTCAGGAAAAACCTGATCTCCAATAAAGTTTCTGTTACATCTCATTTTGTTGGCTTTCTTATGAAGGTACTGTAGGAGTGTAATTGTAGAAAATAAAAGCAACTTCAAATTTGAAAGTTATTAAAATATTTTATATTTTTTTCCTAGGATGCACCACAGTTTAAAGCAAATCATGCTGAACTTATTTTAACTAATCAGAGTCCAGTTCTCATCTACCAGATTTCGTCTAATGAAACCCGAGCACTTGTTGATGTTCGAGGGGAAATGCCAAGGGATTTAAGAGAATATATGGCTGAAAAAATTTATCCACAAATACCTGGTAAGAAATAGGATTTCACTCTCATTGTAATCTACAGTCTGAAAGCAAATCTTGCAAAAGGCTCTCCAGCTCCAGTTCTCACTAAAGCTGTGTCTAAATTAGGTCAAAGGTAAGGATGGCAGGTGAAAAATGCATCCAGTCAATCAGATACACTGAAACTGAATTTACACTAGTACATAAAAAAATCTCCCAAACTAAAAAAAATAGTTTCAATATATTTTTCATATTAATAATTAAAGCATAGTTTTCAGAATAATTATTAATATTGGCATATATATAGTATTTTTTAAATTAGTCTGAATAGCAATATAAGGTCTCTGAATTCTTAAAATATCTCTTATAGTTAACTGCTTTTGTGCTTGGTTTTTGTAGAAATGATAGCTACCATTTATTGAATGTCTACTATATAAGAGGTGCTTTACAAACATACTTTCATTTAATCTAACCAACCACCCTATGAGGTAGGCATTATAATTATCCCCATTTTACAGACGAGGGAACTAAGATTCGGAGAGGTTACTTAGCTTCTCCAAGGATAGACTGTTAGTAAGTGGCAGAGCCAAAGTTGAAACTAGGTCTGTCTGGTTCATACATCCTGGCCCTGGGAACATGAGAACTATGAGAGATCTTCAAGATCAGTTTAATTTTGAGTTGAACACAGAAAGGCTTCATGAGATTTCAGACATCTTTGTAAAACACTCATAAAAATTACTTTCTGGTTTTTTTTGAGAACAGGAAGATGTAAGTAAGAAGAAAATGTAAAAACTTATTAAGACTGTTGATAAAATTGAAGGGAAACCCTGCTTGGCAATTGTGATATGATTACAGTAATAGGAAACTATCCTTGGTATGAGTACATGTTTAAATATTCTGTTTTTTTCAAGTTGTTTTGTAAACTAAGTGAAAGCACTCTGTTTAATAACTAACAGAATATTAACAGAAATGAAGGTATACATGGACCAAATTAGATTTTTAATAATGACATTTTCAAAATTTCAGTACGTTTTCACTCAGTTAAGCCATTTTTGAAGTTTTCAGATGGAAAAATAAGTTACACATATTTAGGAAAAGGATAGTCAATAACGTGATATTTTTAGCATTTTTTTTTTCTTTTACAGTAGATTGTTTTTTTGCCAATCCAGAGGTTAGTTGGAGCAGACTGCTCCGAGATGATGGAAGGAAACCCTTTGTAGATTTAGATTAATATTAGTTAGGTTATTGAAATTCTACTCCTTGTAGAAATGGAATGGTTTTAACATAGGAAAAACATAGGTTTTAATATTCTGCTCCTGTATTCCCAGATTACAATGGGAACTGTATGAAAAGAAAGTTCATTTTCTACACATGTAGAAGCACAAAACTTTAAAACTGGAAGGTATCTCAGAGATGAGCTAATCCAACCATTTCATTTTATAGACAAAGAAACTGAAGGTCAGAAGGGTAGAGCTCTCTACATCTTATCTTTTTTCTACTATACATACCCCCTTGCTGTTTGTGAGCTGATAGTATATTTCATCTGATATTACCAGAATATGGTTGTGACAATAAATTGTTAAATATGACAGCTGTCAGTTAACATTTGGAAGAGAGGGGGGTGGTTTTTCTCCCTGTCTCATGTCATCTGAATTTGCTTCACTCCTGTAGTTTTTTTGTTCATTCAGCTGTATGTATATCTATTTATGTTAATTTTCTCTTAGATTCCTTAATCATTCCTTAGCATGAATGACTAGGTCCTTAATGAACAATTTTATTAATAAAATAATTAATTCTTGATTTATCACTAGGGTTATGTGTAACAACCATACAGATGTATAGTAGATATTTGTTTATACTTGATAAGAAAATGTGATAATTTGAAATTGAAATGTTATAAACCATTTATTTGGTGGGATTAATTGCAGATCATCTGAAAGGACCATTCCTAGAAGCCACTCAGAACTCTCGTTTGAGATCTATGCCAGCAAGCTTCCTTCCTTCTTCACCAGTAAACAAACGAGGTATTATTTTATTGGACTGATTTTATAAAGGATATTCCAAATATTCAAATTTGATATTCCAAATGACATATATGTGATTAAATTTATACCACTGAGAATAACATGTGGGACAGAGAATTGGTTACTGTGGATTAACACTTTACCAATATTAAAATTAGTTTTATGTTTTCTTTATTATTTAATATTGAGTGTATATAAGTCACTGTGCTAGTTATTGGGGATACAACAGTTAAATATAGTCCTTAATCTAGAGAGAGCAGTTTTCTAGTGAGGGATATAGACAGATAATTTCAGAACACTGTTGATAAATGCTGTAATGAAAGCCCCACTCATGGTATCACAGTTTTCACTGTGAAGGGGGACGTGCAAGGCAGGGAGGGGAGTTTGTGAACTGGGAATGGTGATTAGGGAAGACATTGCTCAGAAAATAAAGCTGGAGTTGGGGCATAGAGATGAGTGGGAGTTCATTAGGTTGACAGTGAGATGAGGGACTTCTAAGTAGATGGAACAACATTTGCAAGAGCTAGGAGGGCTGAGCAACGGTGGCACTTTCAGTGAACTCAAGTAGTTCCCAATGGCTGGGGCGTAGCATAGGTGTCAGAGTGGTAGAAAGGTAAGACATTTATGTAAAGTTTAGTTTTAATCCTATAGATAATGGAAAGGTTATCTATATCATTGAACGGGTTTTTTTTTTTATAATAGCTTTATTGAGATATAGTTTACAAATCTTATAGTTCATTTATTTAAAGTATACAGTTCATTATTTTTTAGTATATTCATAGGATATGCAGCCTTCACCATAATCAATTTTAGAACATTTATCACCCCAAAAAGAAACCCTGTACCTGTTACCAGTCACTCCTCATTGCCTCCCAGCCCCTAGCCCACCACTAATCTACTTGTGTCTGTAGATTTGCCTATTCTGCACATTTCCTATACATGGAATCATATGATATATCATCCTGTATAACTGGCTTCTTTGAGGTTCATCCATGTTGTAGCATGTATCAGTTCTTCATTTGCTTTTATGGCCAAATAATATTCCATGTGTAGATAGATTGCATTATCATTATCCATTCATCAGTTGATAGACATTTGTGTTGTGTCCACTTTGGGTTAGTATGAACAATGCTGCTGTGAACATCAGTGTACGAGTTTTTGTGTGGACATATATTTTGATTTTTCTTTGGTATGTACCTAGGAGTAAAATTGCTGGGTCATATGGTAATTCTGTGTAACTCTTTGAGGAACTGCCAAACTGTTTTCTAAAGTGGCTGCCCCATTTTACATTCCCATTAGCAGTGTATGAGTGTTCCAATTTCTGCACTTCCTCAGCAACATTTGTTATAATCTGTCCTTTTGCTTGTAGCCATCCTAGTAGGTATGAAGTGATATCTCATTGTGGTTTTGATTGTTTCTCTCTGATGGATAATGATGTTGAACATCTTTTCATGTGCTTATTGGCCCTTTATATATCTTCTTAGGAGAAATGTCTATTCAGACTGCACATTTCTTAAGTGGGCAAATTAAACTTTTATTGTTGAGTTGTGAGAGTTCTTTATATAGTCTAGATATAAATCTCTTATCAGATATATGATTTGCAAAAATTTTCTCTCATTCTGTGGGTTGTCTTTTCACTTCTTTGATGGAATCCATTAATTTTCATGAAGTCCAGTTTCTGTTTTTTTCTTTTTTGGTGCTTGTGCTTTTGATGTCCTATCTAAAAAGGCTTTGCCCAACCCATGGTCACAAAGATTTACTCCTATATTTTCTTTTAAGACTTTTATAGTTTTAGCTATTACATTTAGGTGTTTTATCCATTTAGAGTTAAATTTTGTGTATGGTGTGAGGAAGGGGTCCAACTTCATTTGTTTCTGTGTGGATATCCAGTTGTCTCAGCACCATTTGTTGAAAAGACTATTCTTTCCCCATTGAAGTGTCTTGGTGCTCTTGTCAAAATTTAATTGACTGTAATGTAAGAGTTTATTTCTTTCAACAAGATTTTCTAGTTCTCAGAGTGTAAGTTTTACATTTCTGTTAAATTTATTCATATTTTACTCCTTTTGATACTATTGTAAATGGACTTGTTTTCTTAATTTCATTTTAAGCTTATTCATTGTTGGTGTATAGAAATACAATTAATTTTTGCATATTTGTCTTGTATCTTGAAACCTTGCTGAATTCATTTATTAGTTCTAATAGTTCATTGAAAAGTTTTAAACAAGGTAGTGGCATAATTCGATTTTTATTTTAGAAATATTACTCTAATATGTAGTGGAGAATGGTTTGGAGAAAGTTCAGACTAAAGCTTATGAAAGGCTATGTAATTATTCGATGTGAATAGTGATGAAAGCCCTGAACTAGGGTTGTGGTAATAAAAATGGAAGGCAGGGAATGGATTTGGGTAATATCTAGGATGTAGAATGCATGAAACTCAGTGATTAATTGGATATTGTAGTAAGGGAGAGTCAGGCCTCTTGATAGATTCCAGTTTCAGACTTAGATAGTTTGCCAGCTATTTGCTGACATTGGAAATATAGGGGAAAGAGTATGAGTTTCGGGAAGTGTGGGGAGAGGTGATGAGTTCACTTTTGGACACACTGAGTGTGAAGTGCTGGAAGGGCATTTGAGTGGAGATGTGTGGAACACCACTGAAGACGTGAGTGTGGAGCTCCGAAGAGAGGTCTGAATGGGAGCTGCCGATACACTCTGGTTCCTGAACATGAACAGATTGTATACAGATTGTAGTTTGCTATGGAAAAACATGCATAATAAACCACCAACCACATAAAAAAACTATAATGCAAAGCAGAATGAAGCCATTGCCAAATTGACATAAACAGCATGCTATGAGAACATATGCTAATGGGTGGGATTGGGAATGTTCCATGGAGAAGGAGGGATAAAAGCTGGTTATAGGTTGTGGTTTAAGAATAATGCATAAAAAAATTTGAATTAATATTTAGAAGCTACTTTTTTACAAATGAATATTTATTATACGTACTATAATTAGTTATAAATGTAGTATATTATGACATTATGGAAAAAAATTATCCATAATTCTGTCCCCTTAACACTGTTATTGTGGTTGTCTGTTTCTCTCTCAGACAAAATTAAATAAATGGTTTGTTTAAATGTTACTCTAGCGCCGGCCCTGTGGTGTAGTGGTTAAAGTTTGGCACACTCTGCTTTGGTGGCCTGGGTTCGTGGGTTCGGGTTCCTACACCACTCGTCAGCCATGCTGTGGTGGCGTCTCACATACAAAATAGAAGGAGATTGGCACGGATGTTAGCTCAGGGCTAATCTTCCTCAAGCGAAAGAAGAGGGGGATTGGCAACAGATGTTAGCTCAGGGTGAATCTTCCTCAGCAAAAAGAAAAAAAGTCCTTCTAAGTCATAGGTCTTAAGCAGGCTGACAGTGGACTGGGAACCTTAGAGTTAGGCAGCTCAGTCAGAGGTGCACCTAGAGTCAAACTGTGGAGCTTTTTGCTTCTGCTGTTTTGATTCAAGGGGCTGATTTTCAGATAAGATTCAATCAAGGCTTATTCTCCTAAATTAACTTCTGATGGTTTTGGAATATCTGCCTGTTAATTGAATCAACTCTTGAATTTTTGCCTCAAGAAATTTTAGTCATGATTTGTTCCCTTGTATTTTCGCATTCTTAATTACTAGCTCACAGCCATAATGTTTATAAATTAACAGAGTAGTCTCTTTTTTTGTCTCAAGGGATGCTCCAGGATGATGTCATGATCTAAATTCTGTCTCCCTATAGGTGTTCTTCTTTTGGGAGATGCACACAATATGAGGCATCCTCTTACTGGAGGAGGAATGACTGTTGCTTTTAAAGATATAAAACTGTGGAGGAAATTGCTAGAGGGTATTCCTGACCTTTATGATGATGCAGCTCTTTTCCAGGTAAGCTAGTAAATCATTCTTTGACAAAAGTGTCTCAAAATAGATTTCTTTGTGGGGCCTAAGAGAAGTGGGGTCTTGATGGGGAGATGTGTACCTGGGAGCCTGATCCTTAGTAATGGTTCTTAGGCAGTCTTACTCAGGCTTAAGAATCTGACTTGCAACCTATGAATCTTACAGAATTTCTAAATTTCTGTATTTGAATATTATGTAACATTGTATTGCCTGGGCCATGTGCTCATAGTGATTTTAAGTTTAGCTTCAGAGTCACATAAACATATTGCTCTGGAGAGGTGTGTGTGTGTAAATGATAAACATAAAGCATAATTACTTGCAGATAATCCTCAGGATAAATACCAGTTTGAGGGGATTATGAACATCAGTTTGTGCTTTCTGTTTTTTTTTTTCTCCTTACCATATATTAAATGATCTTTTCCTTTTTTAGGCCAAAAAATCATTCTATTGGTCAAGAAAAACGTCTCATTCCTTTGTTGTGAATGTCCTTGCTCAGGCTCTTTATGAATTATTTTCTGCCCCAGATGGTAAGTGTAGATAGTTTTTAGTGAACATTACTGAATTTCAGATTTTTAGTACAGGAAGGGAACTTAATTACAAAAAAGTTAATGATTAGACCAGAAATAGAAATGTTTTATGAGTTTGCTGACTCCCAAGTTGGTAGTCCTTTTTAACTCCATCCTTGAGGAAGAGTTTTTAGCTTCTAATCATCATGTATCCACCACTTTATGTGGAAAGCTGTTGTCTTCCCTTACATAACCTTAATAGCAATACCTCAGTAATGTATTATTAATTCCTCTGGTCCAAATCAGATCATGCATATCCCCAAATGCATAAGATTGTGATGGAGGATATTTCTGGCCATGAATTAAAATAGTTGTTAATCTTTTTCTTCCATAAGACTAGTTTCAGTTTCTTTTCAAAGTAGTATTTTATAAAATGAATATGAGCTTCATATCAGGTTTTTTGTCTCCTGTTAAAATGCACAAGTAATAGAATGCACCCACCTTTTACTCATTTGAAATACTTCCATGCTTTTGTTTTTGTTTCTATATTGTAGAGAGGTGATGGTCAATCTCTATATTAAGGACACATGACTTAGCAGAAGCAGCGCTAGAAATGGAGGAAGAAGCAACTGTGCCCCCTCCCAACCACAGCAATGTACAAATTAGTTAACATAGGTTAATGAAACTAGATCTTTAGGTTTTCAAGAGTAAATATAACTCACATCCCATTACGTCAGATATTTACAACAAAGCTATTTCTATGTCCTGGCTGAGGCCCTAGTGATCTGTGCTTTGGTGATCTGATTACAAAGGATGATACTGTACAAATGCCTTCTGTAGCCTCTGTAACCATCATTCTTGCTAAAAAAAAAAACAACTCATTGATTGTGATTTGCCAATCAAATCTCTCTTGCTAATTGGCATGGAAGTTCAAATGGCTGATTGGGCAAGTAAAAAGAAAAGAACTAAATTTTGAGTTTTTCTAAGCTCTCCTTTCAAGCTTTTCTAAGCTCTTGAGTTTCTTACATTATTAATTTGAATCTGCCAACAAAACAACATAAAGTTATGAAAGACTGGAGGAGGAAAGAGCTTTATTGGAGTAAGAGTCTGCCTATTGCATCCTTTTTTATCTATTGTGAAGAAAAAAATCTAGGCGTACCTAAGAAGAAAATTGATTCTAAACTATTAAAAAGCTTATTGATAGATTATACTATGTTTTGAGGATTTAATGAGTTACTTTGAAAAGTATAAAAAACTTCACAGATATAAGGCATTATTATAACTTACTATTCACAGCTGTTCTTTTTACTTGATAATTTGCTGCTCAGAGATATGGGTTGGGAATCTTAGTGACTCGGAATTTGGTTTCCAGAATTGTGATTTTATAACAGAGTTTACAAAATATTTTGCATCATTTAATGAATTTATAACAATCAAGGAAATAGCTTTCAAACAACTCTCAACTTCTGAGACCTACATATTTGGTATAGTAATTATTTATTAGCAGAATAAAGCTTATTCATCCTTAAATTACTATCCATAATGTTGATTATGAAATTTAAAAGAAATCATGGGTTGTTGAAATTTCAGGACTAGATTTTTAAAAAATTACCTATAAGGTTTGATATGTATTATATCTTCATTTTTTCTGATATATGATTAGCACCATAACATAAATGTGTGAATATTGTGATTGAGAGTAATTTTTAATTGTTTTTTTTTTTAGATTCCCTACATCAACTAAGAAAAGCTTGTTTTCTTTATTTCAAACTTGGCGGAGAATTTGTTGCTGGTCCTGTTGGGCTGCTTTCTGTGTAAGTTGTTTTGACGACACAGAGAAAACAGATATTCCAGATTTTCATAGGACTGTTTAGTTTATGAATTACTGCAAATCTTTCTTTCTTATACATTTTGTCATTTTATTATCCATTAGTATCCCAATCAGCAGGTAGCCCAGAGAAATGAAAAAGGCAACATTTAGTCCTGTGTTTTATTTCTGGGAAAGTGTATTGATTAGAAGTTGGTGGCAGATGAGGCTAAAACTCTTGATTAAAATAGAAGCTTGTTTTTTGCCTGTAGGTTTATCTATATGATCTGCTCTATGGGAGCCATGGGTAAGAGAAATTCGTATTTAAAAACTGAAGTGCAGGGACTCATGAAACTCAGTAATAGTTTTGAGGGTGCAGAAGAATGTGGAACTATTCTTGGAAAGTCTGCAAAGTGCAATTCTTTAAGTCTTTTCTCATTCGTCTATAATCTGAATGTCAGCACTGTTATCTTTTGAAAAGCCTAGACTCCAACAGGCCAGGCCATCCAGGTAGTGCAGACTGGGACCTCAAGAATAGTGAAAGAAAACAGCTCAAAAGATATGACTTCTGTAAACTAGACTAAGAGGAGTTAACTGGCTTCCCTGACAGGAGTATGTCCTAAGTAGTTTCTTGTTAAAAAAAAAATTTATTTGTTCCTGCCATCAAACTTAGTAGGCAGACACAAGCTTGTAAAGTCCTCTAAAATGTATAATGTGTTTAACTTTATAGATGATACACAGATTTTAATTTCTGAGTCTTACAAATATATGTGTTGTTTTTTCTGTTACAGACTGTCTCCTAACCCTCTAGTTTTAATTGGACACTTCTTTGGTGTTGCTGTCTATGCCACGTATTTTTGCTTTAAATCGGAACCTTGGATTACAAAACCCCGAGCCATTTTCAGTAGTGGTGCTGTATTGTACAAAGCATGCTCTGTAATATTTCCTCTAATTTACTCAGAAATGAAGTACTTGGTTCGTTAAGCTTAAATGAGGGAACCACTTGTGGATGAGTATTTGGAACTCAGCAAGTCCTAAGAGACTTTTGGAAGAGGATGTATATAGCATAGTACTATACCACTTCTAAAGTGGAAATTCTTGGACCAACATTGGGATTAACTTGTTTTTGCAGTTATTTGTATATAAACATGTAAATATATGCTTTAATTTGCAATTTAAAATGAAAGGTAAATAAGATAGATATTTAAAAAAGATGATTGTTACCATAAATTAGTGCTAATACTGAGGAACTGTGGTTTTTCTTTTGAATTCAGTATCTGGGATGAGTCATTGTGGGACATGCAAATAAAATGAAGAATGAATCCTCACGTCTTTTTGTTTCTTGTGGACTTCTTTACATAGCTTCATTATAATGGAAAAGAAAACCAAAGTGGGATGGAAAATGCAGAGGGAGACCTGTTCTGTTAAATAACTGACATTGGGGAAGTTCCCTTAATGTCTCTGGACCTTATTTTCCTCATCTGTCCAGTAAGGCAATTTGATAAGGTTCTTTTCTGAGTTCCTTGAAAATATCACATTCATACAGGAAAGCAATCAAGGGCTTTTTAAGTTCCACTGTGTAACAACATTAATAAGCCAGGCTAGGATTATTCCAAAAAACTGAATTAAAAAATAAGCACTCGTAATACCTGTATAATGCTTTAAAATCAATTAGAATTTACTGAGTTTACAGTATATTTGAAGAGATTATGGACATTCAGAAGGGTATTATGACACTTCAATAAATCTTCAAATGTCACCAAAGTGAATTGCTCCCTGGAAAGAGCAGTAAAGTATAACTTGGAGTATTAACCAACTACTTCAGTTATGATGATTAGGGCTCAAATGACTTGTAAAGCTTGTATAATAAAATTTTGTCTTTTTCAACTTTTAGTTCTCTCTTTCAGTTGAGAGTTTTTCACTGGCCAAACCACTAGTGGAATAGTTGCAGACACCACTTGGCCTTGTTTTAGCACAATGTGTGCTGGACTCAGATGCTTGGTTTCATGAGATTCCCTCTGATGTATCCCAAACTTCTAGTTTCTGTTTAAAAACTGACTTTCTGGGCCGGCCCCGTGGCGTAGCGGTTAAGTGCGCGCGCGGGCTGCTGGCGGCCCGTGTTCAGGTCCCGCGCACAGACTGACACACCGCTTCTCCAGCCATGCTGTGGCGGCGTCCCATATAAAGTGGAGGAAGATGGGCACGGATGTTAGCCCAGGGCCAGTCTTCCTCAGCAAAAAGAGGAGGACTGGCATGGAGGTTAGCTCACGGCTGATCTTCCTCACACACACAAAAATAAAAACTGGCTTTCTTAGATCTGGCCTTTTAGCAGCTGGCTTTCTTTGGGGGCCATTTTCACAGAGAACTCACTTCATGCAGCTACTGTGACCTGATTACAAATGGAAAACAGCAAGATAGGTTTGAGATGTGGCTGTAAGGTGGCCATGGACTTACTAGCCAAGTTCCCATGCATCAGCCTCTCAGTGGGTGAGACTTCCAAGCTCCTTACAGGCTGGGCAACAATTCACTTTTAAAATTCTGCCCTAGGCCTTGACCAGGCCAGGCTGTGAGGCTCCTGCTTCCCTGTGCTGCCCAGATGCCTTTTCAAATCCTTTCAGAATGATGGTGAAATAAAGCCTATAATGTCATGTTTCTCTTCTTGCGGTACCTTAGGATTTGAGGCCTTCTGACAAAAGAAACAACTTTTCATAAAATCGGAAAACTTAAGGGAACCTGAGAAATCATTTAGCCTTGATATTACAGAAGATGCCAACAGGCTGGCTTGGGACAAAGTTTAGCTAGCGGCAGAACCAGGACTCAAACTTTGCCTCCTGGCTACAAATCAATGCTTCTACCCCTGCAACTTTCCAAACGACTGAGGCAGGTTTCAGATTCTGGGTTTTTTGTTATTTTTTTGCGTGTTCTCTCCTCTCCAGAGGAAGACATAGTTGCAAGCTTAGGGCTAAAACATGTTTCTTGCAGTTATCCAAGTTTCCACAATACGATGGCGGCTCCCCTTTCAGGGTAATTTTCATGCAGAAGTGATTTAGTGTTTGGATAGTAGTTAAATGCTGATGGCTAAGCTGTTACTAAAAATAAAAACAAAGGGCTAGCATTATGGTTGTGGGGACTTGGGGTGGAGCTCAGGGGTTGCTGAGGAAGGAAGGAAAGGGTGGAAGGAGCAGCTGAAGTTAGGGAGTCCTACAGAAGGGATACTGGGAATCCCCCTCCAGAGATTCTGAGATTGGAAGAGGAGAGTGAGCCTCAGACACCAAGAAACTTCCATGGTATGTGGTCCATAAATTGTATGGTCCGGCCATCACCGTGTGCCTGCCAGCCTGTCGTGGGCATCTCCCTTGGACCTACCAGATTCATCTCTTACCTTCCAGACGAGGTTTTTTGCAGGATGAATATATAGTTTTTAAATCATAAATGGAAGAACAACTTTGGGTACTGGCAATACTATTTTACTGAAAATCTGGAGTTGCACAAATAGTTCTTCAGAACATAAAACTAAATGGATTTATACATAACAATTACATTCAGCATTTATAAGAGGCAGTACAAAAATGTGTTCTGCTTCTACATGATATAAGTTGCATACAATACCATGATTTAAACAGTATTAATTATATTAACTAATGCCATGAGATATATCTTACTCCGAATGTCTGATGTTTCCCACAATAAAGGGAAAAAAGGCAGTTATATGAGCAGTTGAATTTCTTTTCTTTTCCAAATTCATTTTAGTGATGGTGAGATCTAAGGCCAATCCTTTCACTGAAGAAGTAGAAGAAAAGAAGTTACAGGGCTGTTCTGAACTCATCAAAAATGAAATTAGGCACGTGTGCTTCAGCAACCTAAAAAAATGAAAGAGTTAAATTATTCATAGTGTCATAATTCAGAATAAATTCAAAACTTTCCACATGAAAATTAAAAGGTATCCTTTGGAGCAAACTGAATCACAGGGACCTGCTGGACGCACATGGGTGGTTTCACTCCTTGAAACCACCGCCCTCTGTTCCTGGCGTTCCTCATACCAGTGTCTCATTTCTTGGCACTAACATCCGAGGGGACGCTGCACTGCACCCCCTGCCTCCAAACAGGGGTGAGCTCCCTGGCTCTTAAAGGCACTTGGATCGCAAGGAATGCGCGTGCCTCTGGGAAGTACTAAGAGGTAATCTCAGGTCACCTCACAATTGACTGATGACCAACCTAGGAAGAACAGGACGTCTGGCAAGTGGCTGAGGGCAGAGGGGGAAGTGGAGGAGGGCCCTCGAAGGCATGCATTCCTTAACTGTGCTTAGGGGAAGCCCCGAGAGGGGTGGAATATAGAACTAGGTGATCTCTAAGTACTGGAAATTGGAATTTTTTAAAAGTGGTGTTCAATTTTTTTCTGAGTATAAAGGTATCACCTGCTAATTAGAGGAAATTTAGCAAATGCAGAAGAGTATAAAAAAGAAATAATCTCTAATCTCAATCTCTTAGAGGAAACTAAAACTGATGTTTTGTATTGAATTCTTCCATTTACACACACACACACACACAAAATTAGGATCACATAATCTTGTGACCTTTACTTCTGCTAAATTTTATGAACGTCCCTGCACACATATCTTGGTGAACTTTTGCACATATCCAGCAGGTAAATTCCTAGCAGTGGAGTTTCTGGGATCAGGAAAATATATTACGAAAGTACTGGAAAGTCCCATTTCTGCAAACCCTTGCAAGCAATAGGGACCCAACATTTTACTTTTTTTTTTTGATGAGGAAGATTAGCCCTCAGCTAACATCTGTTGCCAATCCTCCTCTTTTTGGTAAGGAAGATTGGCCCTGGGCTAACATCTGTGCCCATCTTCCTCTATTTTATATGTGGGACACCTACCACACATGGCTTGATGAGCGGTGCGTAGGTCTGCGCCCGGGATCCAAACCCTCGGACCCCGGGCTGTCGAAGCAGAGCATGTGAATTTAACTACTACACCACTGGGCCGGCCCCTCAACATTTTACTTTATACCAATCTGATGTGCAGAAACGTAATTTTACTATTATTTTGATTTGTGTCCCTTGACTATAAGGTTGAATATCTTTACAAATTTATTTGTATTTCTTTTCCTGAAAACTGCCTGTTAAACTCCTTTGCCCATTCTTTTTTTCTGTTGGATTGGTTATCTTTTTCTGATCGATTAGAAGAGCACACTATAAATCAAGGAAATTAGTCCTTTGTTAATATTTTCCCCCATTTTTTTTGAAAATTAAGAGACATTTAACAGAATTGTTTATTTTATAAGAGATCAAATCTCTAAATCTTTTCTTCTACGGTTCCCTCCTTCGGTATTATATGTAGGAGGTTCTGTGCCCTGATCCATATTTGTCTAAAATTTCTGCTAATTTATTGGTTTTATTTTTCACACTCTCAATCCATCTGTAATTTATTTTCACACATGAAAGATGCAAAGAGACTAACTTGCTATTTTTTAACCACATAATGAACTAATTGTCCCAGCACTATTAACTAATATTCCTTTTCCCCCCTAACCTGAGATGCTACTTTTCCTTATATACACTTGTTTTTGTTAGGATTTGTTTCTAGGCTACATATTCTAGTCTATTGTTCCATCTATTGAGTGTCATATTAGTACTACACTATTTTGATTTCTGTGGTTTTATAATAGATTTTAATATTTGGTATACTGTTTTAATATCTTCTTTTTAAAAAAATTCCATTTTAGCCTGAGTTCTATGAAATTTTAAAAAATCTTTTGTCCCCCCAAGTTAAAAAAATTATCTGGGATTTTGATCATAACTGCAATAAACCTATGAACTACTAGAAAGAACTAATATTTGAGTCTCCTCATTCAGAAACATGGACTTCAAAATTTTACAGCTTTTTCTGAATTGTTCTTTCACATTTTTTGTAGAGGTTATTATTCCTGAGGTATATTATTTCCTTGTTAATTCTGTGAATGGGATCTTTTCACATTATATTTTTGAATTAGTTATTAGAGTATTTAGTTTGTACATTATATAATCAGCTTGTTTTCTAAACTCTTATTAATTTTAATAGTTTTCCACATGATTCTACTGGGTATTAAGGAAGACAATTACATCCTCAATAAATAATACAAATTTGTCTTCTTTTCATCATGCATTTGAAAATTTTCATTTCCTATTTTATTGTCTTGAACCCATACGACACAAGTAGCAGTGGGCGTCAGTATCGTCATATTACTGTTATAGTCCTGACTCTAATGAGAACGCCACTAGTGTTTCACTATTAAGTATGACACTGCTAGTTGATGTTTTAAACATCATCTTTGCTTTTTG